ATAAGCATTAAGCAGGGACTTTGTAACAGCCCTATAGTGCAATCACTGTTGAAAACATTTTAAATCAGCTGCATGTTATTGTGTTTCTTTGTAACCCCCTCAGTGATTTTCTTACATGAGACTTGGCCCAGAAGATGAAAACCTCGGCCACCATGCGAAACAGCTCTTCAGCCTCTGGGTTGGACTCTTTCAGCCACCTGGCCCTGTCAGTATATCAAGACAGTTTAATTCATAGTGGCAATACTTAAAGGTTCCCTGTGGAGTTTAGACCTGTTATGTGCCAGTGGTTTAACACTATACACTGATCAACAGGTAGCAATGACAAAGACAGGGAAGAGGAAGACTGGAAGCTAATAAACATGGATATAAACACTGCTGGATTTAAAATACTTAAATCACAAATGTTTAATGGCGAAGGAAATACATTCAACATGGTTGCTTAACATGCTCAAGGATACACACAGTCTCATTCATGAAATGTTTGTAAATATGTGCGTAGATTTGCACATAAAAAACATTGGTTCTAAAAACCTACACTGCCTTCATGAGCCCTGTGAAAACTCAGATTTGATCATAGGCATGTGTGTATGTTCATGAATACCAATCAATTTTAAACTGATAGTGTGCTCCTGCTAGTCAGTAATTAGCATACATCCCCACCCATGATCACCAGTGACCACCATATATGTAGGTGATAAATACTATGGATAGGTGCATCCTGTCAACCTGCGAACACAGAGCATACAAAGGAGAGATAGAGAAAGAAAAATGTTTCCGACCTTGAGATTGAAATTATTATTATTTTTTTTAAAAGATATTTTTTAGGGAATTTTGCCTTTATTGTACAGGACAGGTAAGTGTGAGGGGGGGGGGAGAGAGAAGGGGGACATCCAGTAAAGGGCCACAGGCTGGATTTGAACCCGGGCCGCTGCGGCAACAGCCTTGTACATGGGGCGCCTGCTCTACCACTGAGTGACCAACACCCCGAGATTGAAATTATTTTCTGTCTCCTGATTGATACAGGTTGGAAAGGGATGCCAGAAATGTAGAAAACACATGTATTAAGTCAATTTAAATAACTCATTCACATTTTTAATCTTTTGTCATGTTTTACTTACATGTTTCAAAGACATTTATGTACTGTGAACATAACAGAGCACAATACAAATTAAAATTGTAATTTTTAATAATGCCAGGCAATATTCCTTATTTACACAAGCACTTCAAGCACTTCAAGCACTCAGAAGCACTCAGAAGCACTCAGAAGCAGGTGTAGATTTTGTAAATACCTATGAAAAGATAAGAGCTACTAACATATTGATGAATTGCCAAAATACACGCTAATTTCCTTCTGCAAACAGTTTACACACAAATTCATTCTGCTTACATTTCATGAATGAGACCCAGTGTGTTTTGGTGAGTAACACTGAATTTAAACATAACTTCTATTTGTTTACAGAAAAACTCCACAGGGTCCCTTTACTGTAAGAAAAACAAAGTCCTTATATTGTAGACACAGACTACTAGTCCCCATATCCTTCATTCTTTCTTCAAAATAAATTAAACATGCAGCTTATCATTATTTATACAGAGCATCTACAGGACAAAAGCATACAGGTAAGTATCACATTACAGTAAGTGATGTAGGTCAGATTTGTTTATACATTAAAAATGTTCAATCAAAGGAAGAGAATCGTTGGAACCATCCAATAAGTGCACTGTACCTGTTGTAGTCAACAAATCTTATGAGGAGAGGGTAGAAGGCATACAGGTCTCTGACCAGTATGGTGAACTGGTCCATGATGAGAAGCTCTGTCTCTGACATCTCCCCCCTCCCCTCTGCCTTGCTGTGTTCCTCATCCATCAGCACAACTGCTGCTTTCTACAGGACACAGTAACACACAGCTTTCTCTCCATTTCAACAACAAATATACTGTCATCCTAGTGGTAGTATTACAGTCCTACTTTGCAAAAACATTGCATTAGACTTACAAACTTACTGTTACATTATTTAAAGCTGGGGTAGGTAGTTTAATTTTTGGTGTCATTAGGCAAACATTCTATAATAAACTTAGTATAATGTAATTCAAGTGGACTGAAAGAAAACTGGACCTCTGCACCTCCTCATGACTCTTATTTTTCAGGCTTTAGAAAATCTAGACTGTGGCAGGAGACCCTGGCCAATCACAGGTCATTTCAGAGAGAGGGAGCTCCTATTGGTTGTCCTACAAATGCAGATGCAAATGCACATCCCTTCTGTGAAAATCTGATTTAATGGTGTAGAATCCTGCAGAGAAAGTTACTATTTGCAAGAGCCTAAAATCACAGTGTGTCCTCTGCCTCTGTCTCTGTCGCTGCAGATCAACTCACTGGGAGGACAGCTGGCAGCAGTTCTGGAGACTGACCCCTAGTCAGCAGCCACAGCAACCCGACTGCAGCCAACGCAAACCCCACATCCTCGGGACTGGACAGCCCCGACTCCTCATCAGATCAGCAAGCTTTCTGTTGCTGTCATTACACAGGTTAGACCCAATGCTGCCACTGACCATCAGCCCACTGTGAAACCTGGCACTGAGGGGTTTGTGCCAGCAGAATTGGAGTTGCTGCAGCTGCTGATGAAAGTTCCAGTTCCAGAACTGCTGTCTACTGTCCTCTAAGGCAAGTAGTTCACAGTGGCAGGGAGCAACTGCTGTACAAGTGAAAGATTAAGTAAATCAGTGTATGGAAAAAGCCTAAACTACCATATGAAGTGTGTGCATTTGCACATGGTCGTCTGGTGGGAGGGGCTTAGGACACAGAGTGGAAAGCTGTACAAGGTGGGTATATTTTCAGAGTCTGCCAGGTTTTTTTGCCTTTCCAGATTTTTGCCTACCCCAGCTTTAAGTCACTGCTTGCACATCTCTGATAGCTTAAAATGGTATTACATGAACATATGTATATACTGTGTGTGTTTTTTAAGTCCACCGATATTCTAATGAGCTAAATAACAATCTTTAACATAATAAAATGACAGGACTCACTTTTTTGAGTTTCTCCATCAGAGGCAGAAAATGGGTCTTGAGCAGCTGGGCTTTGGCCTTGCTGATGATTGGCTGAGAGAAGACTTTGAAGCAGGAAAAAGAGACAGGGTTTAATGACTAGGCATAAAAAAGAATTGTGTATATGTGTGTCGAGGTGACTGATGTGGTGTGGCAATTCAAAGCTTTTTTGAACCTTTTCATGCCACCTGGAATTATATTTAAGACAATAATATAGAAACAAAAACCTGACAACATTACGTAAAAATATGTCAAGTCATTATCACTCACACACACACACACACACACACACACACACACACAGAGTTTACCAGCTAGCCTTTTCATCCAGGCTCCTTCATCTATTCCCAGGTTGTTGTAGATGATCTTGAGGATGTTTCCCAGCAGAGTGTTCATGTGTTCAGAAGTCACCGAGGTGCAACAGCTGTCAGCTTTGTCTGGGTTGCTCTCTGGTCCATGCTCCCACCAATGAGACATGTAGCTGCACAACATCGGCAACACCACCTAGAGAAAATGGAAAAAAAAACATGCTACAATCATAAGGTTTATGTTGAGTTTTATTAACCTCTGTGGGGAAATCAATCTTCTGCATTAACCCACTGAGCTATTTAGTAGCAGTGGGCAGCCAATGGGCACCTCAGGTGTGGCAGCTCGGGTTTAGTGGTATGACAAAAAACAGAGCACCTTGAGGGAAACAAACTCATGTGGATAGGGGTACAACAGATAAAAAGTTGATGTGTATTTTCAAGTTTGTTAGTTAGTTATATGTCCCACCTCCATAACATGGGGCATCTGAGTGTATCGCATGCCAGACTCTGCCAGCTCCATGATCTCCTCCAGGCACTTGTCTAAGTTTGGGATCAGAGGACAAACCTCCCCCACCTGCCCTGGAAGACCTAGAGCTGAGAGGTGGAAAGACAACGTACTTAAACAATGAATATACACATCAATATATAGCTCAATAATTACACACACACACACATGCACAATTAACTTTGCATTTCAAGCAAAAGCTATGTAGTGTGCCTGCTAACACTATCACTGGTTTCCACAAGATGTTACTTTTTGCTCATGCCATATCAACACCTGCTGAGTCATTTCTGAACAGTCAATGCTGTGTTTGTCCTCCATTAGAAAGGAAGAGATCTATCTGGACTTATCAGTCTTTTATGGTTGTGGTGATGGTAAATGACCAGACTGCCATAACTAACAGCAACTGATGGTCGTGTAATCTAAGTGCTTTAGACGTTACTCTGTCATTTGAATCTCACAGTAACACACGCTGAGCTCAGTTACTAAGACACTGTAATTCTCAGAGGATACAACTACCTCAAGACTTGTATTCATTGACTTGATGTTATTCCATCCTCTCATATTTGTAGAATTCAAGTGCACAGAGTGGCTAAACATTGAAATACATATCATACTCATGCGTACCTGTTCTGTCTTTAGTTCCTTTGCTGTTGTAGATAGAGAAGCTGTTGAACTTGTTGATGTGAGGCTCAAGGAATGCAACAGGAAAGGCTCCTGAGAAGGCAGCTAAACACTTCCCTAATGCTGGACGCTGTCTGGAGAGGAGGATAGGATAGGATAGGATGGGATGGGGTGGGGTGGGGTAGGGTAGGGTAGGGTAGGGTAGGGTAGGGTAGGATAGGATAGGATAGGATAGGATAGGGTGGGGTGGGGTAGGACAGGAAGAAAGGAGACAAGAGGAAACAGCAAAGGAGAGGAGATAAATATTTTTTTCATTATTATTATTTCCATATCAATCATATATTTCTTTTGTTGATAAACTGTAATAATATGCAAGATTGCCTATTTTTTCTTAACATGCTAAAAACCATAAAATATTCAGATAGGCAGCTTTGTATTATTGTTTCGCAATATTACATTTGGTGATATTGTTTAATAAGTTTAGATTAGCCTTTCCTTTCTCTTGTCTTATACATTTAGGAAACTCAAAATTGTGAATTTGTAACTAAACCAGTGTTAACTGTGTTGGTCTTTCGTCAGTTATTAGAAATACCATGGATTGTTAATTGCCTCTGTTTCATCTTACTTAATCTGCTTCCTGTGCTTAAATTTCAACATCTTTATCTCCTGGTTCAGACACTGGGTTTGAAAACTGTTTGCCAGTGTTTTCCTCAAACTGAAAAGATGCCGTTAGGGACCATATGCTGACTCCTGTCATTTGCAATGCAAAGACTATTACAGGAGGAACATTTGTGTTTGTGAACACAAATAAACTGCAGGTAAACCAGATATATTGCAGGAGGAGGCATTTGGATTTTATGAAGCTCAGCACTGAGTGTGTTTTTTACAAGGTAATAGTGAATTATCAGTGATAATGTGTTTGTTACAAGTTTTACAGTCACAGCTGTAGCACATCTGCAATGTTAAATTAATTCATTCCTCTCATTCTGCCATAAGTATTTTACACACAATGAAATACTGAGCTTGCTGGATAAAGAAGTAGAAGTACATCAGCACATTAATGGGGTTCTTATGCTGGTCTCTTTTCTCTTTTAAACACACATTTGGTTTCTTATTGGTTCAAACAGTTTATGGCTGTGCGATTTCTCTGTCACAATTACGCTGGGTCTGCTCCATTTCAGTATGCCTGTGCACCATGTAGCAACCATGTAACTGTCAGCTGACAAAACAAACATTAATGTCAGCCTACAGAGCAAAAACCATGGTAGCTTTCCCTGCGGACAAATAGTTTCCTGTATGGATAGTAATGTTCACAATATGATTTTATGTAATCTGGATGAAATTAATCAGTTCTCTGTTTTATCAGTCTCTCTTGACTTGTTTGTGTTTGCATGGGCTACGTGGTCATGGTGACATATATGCTGCGCTCGCCGCTAAAATTTAGTGGGGGATTACCTGTCAAATGGTGTGCAGACTCCACCTACTCAGCACTAAGCAGGCGTACACTGGTGTTGTAATGGTGCGGAATCACAGTATGCAAAGTTTGCGTGTTGTCATAGTAACATAAGATGTGGCTTTGTAGCTTTGCTATTTTTGCAAATGTTATGTTGGTATGCTGATTTTGAGTTGTATTCGATGCCCTCTGTAAACTCAAATACTCTTCACAGTACATGTAAACTTCCATACAGATGTGGAACAAACGTGATTATATGACAGGTTACTGTACCTTCAATACAGTACATGTGTACTGTAGGGTTTACTGTACCTCTCTACATAGATGCTTTTGTTGGTTCCCAGAAAATAGAGGCTGTTGAGGATTCTGTAGCAGGAAACCTGGACATCATCCACTGAGAGAAAGAGTGGTGAACAAAAAAGATGTTTGCAGTTTACATTTCAGGGAGTTCTCTTCTTTGATTTTAATGAAAAAGAAAAAAAAAAAAAATCCTCCTGTAAATGACCAACTATTACATTTTTCATCGGAATTGAACATGAAATTTCATGCTGGAAATATGATATTACCCATTAGATACAATTTTTAACTGATATGTAAATACATGAATTTGTTCTTTAAGAAGAAAACATCTGAAACATTAATTGTTTCGATTTCACTGTCGATGCCTCAAGCCAACATAATGAGTAGCACAAGTCAATACGCACATATGAGGTCTTCTCCAAACATGTTTTGTCCAATGTGTTCGAACAGAGAGGAGAGGACGGGCAGCAGAGCGAAGGTGGTGTAGTTGATAATCTGAGTGACACCTCGTGGCTGCTCTCTGCTGTGGGTGAACTGGCCCAACTTCAGGTTCTCCTGTGTCTTCTCCAGATCTTCTGCTGCACTGTCAAAGTACAACCGTAATGCTGCCTTCACTGACTCCAGACCAGTCTTCATCACTGTCCTGATAAATGGGGAGAGATAGGTTTTACATTATCTTTACAAGACTTACATCTTCCAACCTGATGTATTCTATAGATCCTGATAGGGGCCGAATGGGCGTTTGCCCAGGCGCCATGGGGGGTGTCGCCCAGGGCTCCATTTAGGCTAGAACTGCCACTGCTGGAAACTGTCGGGAAACTGTTCGACTTCACTGTGGCTTTTTGTCACTGCCTCCTGCTGCAGCAGCCTGATATTGTCCACTTTCCAGTTCATCTTGGACAAGCGCCTTGAAACTCATTCAAAGCTCTGGCTCATCACTGTGAGTTATACTCACGTACAGTTAGAATACGGGTAGGATGGCCTGCTCTGGCCACCCACTCTCTCATTAGTACACCTTTTTATATGAGGCAATTCTTGAGCTGCTCCCAAATTACCTGTGTGTCAATGCAGAAAAGTGCCAGATAATCCTCTTTGCTTTCTCAGGACTTTTTTATGTACAAAACTGGAAAAAGTCCATTCGTGTATTTGGCACCCTTGGCTGCAAAATGACTTGAAACTCAATGAGTTAATCTAGCTAAATGCCTTTAAATACAGAATGAAAGAATCAGAGGCAGATTCCATAGAGGCCCATTTATGCTCAACGTTAAATACGGATCCGGATACGGACGGAGCCTTCTGTCCGTGCTCTGCGTTCATTTCGTCCGTATTTCTGCACGTTTCCATAAAGCTTACGGATACGGGCCAAACGGAGCAGTACCACCGGGAACCGTGGGGGCAGTGTTGCTGTTACTATCCGATACGTAGCTCTAGTGAGACACAAAGAAGAAATAACAATTCAATTTCTCTCATCGGCAGTAGTAGAGAAAAGAATTCTCCGTCCTCCAGTCACGATGTATTTAACGGCCTCACCAACCACCGCCTCCTACAACGCTGCCTCTGTTTTTGTCTTTTATGCAAGAGGTACATTATCAATATCTCCTCCAAAGTCGCCATGTTTGTTTTTGAGTTTGTTGTTGTCATAAACTTTTGACGCTGGGCTGCCTCCTGGTAGATATATTGGTTAACATCCATGCCAACGTAAAGGGCGCATGGAAGTATGTGGGCAGTGACGGTAACATCGTTTGAAATGGACGTATACATTTTTGTACGTAAAGGGAGCATAAATGAGCCTTAAGATGTCAGTGTTTTTAATAGAGATGCATCTATTAGTCTACTGGTGACCAGAATCAGGCGATTTTCAGGTTGACCAGCAATGACCCCTGAGTGGTCTGTCAGTCTCAAAATTGTGTGCTGATTAAATTTACATGCATACCGCACAACAGTTCTCGTGGCAGGCAGAGAAGCACAGAAAGTAACTGTGCTACTGCTAGCTGCAGTAGTGGGGATTAATGCACCATAGACTTGGTTAAGACTTCACCATGCTAACCAGGCTAGCAGCTAGCATAAGGGTTAGCTCCACCCTCTCTTACAAATATGGTCACTTCTGGCTCCAAAAATCCAAGATGGCATTGACCGCAATGCCAAACTCAATGCTTCAAACTAGGAGTCCACAAACCAGTGGGTGACGTCACAATGGCTAAGTTAGTTATACAGTCGGTCCTTCAACATCATCTCTGTTGTAATGACAAGGGGCAAACACACACACAGAGACATATAGGCTACAACTTAGTTAATGTCTTTCCTCACCTGGCATCCAGGCTTTGTCCCAGTATCTGCAGACAGTTGACGATGGATGTAGCATTGTTACCTGAAAAGTAGACAGGATCACTTAATACAGAGAGTGTGCACATACTGGGTAGGGTTTGAGGTTCCTGTCTGTCAGGTAAGTGAAGAGTCAAACACTACAGAGCACTAACGCAACAAAACAACAGCCCTGTTCAAACCAATAGGTAAGAGTTGTCTGTCTGATGGAATACACATCTGAAGAACACATCTGTCATGTATGTTCTTCAGATAATAACACAGCAGAGCATCATGTTCAAAGCAAAAATATGTTCTTTTAAAAAGTGATGATATTACAAGCTTATTAATTCCAGGCTTTTTTTGCTGTCAACAGTACTGGAAGCAAAATCCTGACAGCCTGATAAATATCAATATAAAACTATTTTTTTTCCAGTTGTATCAAAGGGGGAACATCTTTTTACTTTGAGGAGAATGACATGGTGAAATGCTCTCAGCACATGATATGGTATAACAAGTTTCACTACACACCACACACAGCTGCTGAGCAGAGGATGAGTATACACACAACTATGGTATCATGCATGCATGCACACACACTCCTGCACACACTACTTAAGGATGTTCTAGAGCTTTTTCATGTTCATCCACTATCTGTTTCTCCCAAACACACTGCTGTCATTTATGATCACAGTTTAATATCAACAATAGATGCAGGATAACTTATTCTATAAACTGTCTCACATGGAAGAAGTTTCAGTGTGTAGTATGTTTAGATCTTTGCACAGTCCTCAGTACAGATCACACAAATATATACTGGTTTAACCAATTGTTAAAAATATAGTACTGAGTTATATTCAGTTTCTGAGGTCTGATTTTAACCTTTAAAGGTAAACTGTGGAGCTTTTGAATACCAGTAGCACTAAGTATCCATGTCCATAAAAGAGGGTCCCTGTTTCGTTTTTTCTTATGCACACAGCCAAGAAACACAGCAACGTGCCAAAAAAGGCAGGGAAGAAGAAGTCTGCTATCAAGTAAATATGGATGCAAACAATGCAGATTTCAAACTTCTTTAGAAAGTGAGCTTGTTTAAAGTTTTATGAGGGAAGAAATGCATTCAGCATGCTTGGTAGTCCTCAAAGACACACGGGATATAAACAAAAAGACTTACAAGACCTGAAGACCATGATAGCTTACAGTATGAATTTCGTCTTAAACAAGTGATGGATACACAATGGTAAATACGAACCTGATTAATAGTACTGCTCTATCATTAAAAACATAGCAAGAAAGAGTTCTGCTTATGCTTGGCTTCCATTATTTATACGTTGTTTAGTGCTGAGGTGCTTGAGTATGATAAACACCAGGATTGAAAGTTTTTAAACAACACTCAGCCCTACCAGTGACAGATGACCAGCTGAATGCAAATATATGGAAAATACAAAATGACATGATGGTTCATGGACTTACATGATGACAAGAGGTACCAGAATGCACCCAATATAAAAATCACTGGTCACTTTACACCAGCAATCACTTAATCAGCAGCATATGGGAGACTATGATGTAACGACTTACAAACTGCAATAACTGTTTTTTGTCCACTTGGGGCAGCGTAAACAAGCTGTAAACATATAATTATATAATAACCAGTAACAAGAGTGAGTAAAACCACATAGACGCCCATCATAACCCCAGATTTTTTCAGTTTTTTCATGTTTTCAGTTCATGAAAGTTAATTTTTGGATCATCTAAAAAAGCCTTGATCAGCCTTTGGCTTTACTAAAAGACATAGTTTTCTGCTAGGTCTATCTGTTTTAATGGTTTTAAGGCTGTTTTCTGCAAGTGAAAATACGAATTAGCATTATCATGGTTAACTATAGCTCTAAATGTAGTGTGTTACCTAAGCTAGCAGCTGGCATTGGTGTTTGCTCTACCCTCTAACTTCACTTTTGGCTCCAAAAATCCAAGTTGTGACGGCCAAAATGCCAAACCCAGGGCTCAAAATGGGAGTCCACAAACCAGTGGGTGATGTCATGGTGGCTGTGTCCATTATTTAATACTGTCTAGTTTACATTACCTAACATTTTAGCTGTAAAAAAAAATAAATAAATATAATAAAATAAAATCTTGTTCAGTGTTTGGTTGTACTAAAAGACCCTCTAAGGAGTCAGGTATTCTGTTTTGCCAGTAAGTAAATTTGGTTTCAATGATTTTAAGCCTGTGTTTTGCTAGTAAAATTTAGCATTAGCATTATCACAGTTAACCATAGAATGTAAATGGCCCATGCATTACATATACACAATTCATTATGCTCTGCGTTTCATTAGGGTTCCCTTCATTCACTTACCCTTGGCCCTTGGTATTATGTAACAGCTTGCATCAAACAGAGTCCTTCAGTTTTTCAGACAAATGGAATGATGCTTATGATGGCGGCTGGGATTCCTCCAAGGGCAAGTGTCAAGGGGAAGTCAACAAGGGCATGTTGATCAACTAATGGAACGCAGCCATGATCACTTATGGCTCCAAAAATCCAAGACAGCAACAGCCAAAATGCCAAAGTCAAGGCTTCATAACCAGAGTCCACAAACTGATAACTGAAGTGACAGTGGCTACGTCCACCTTTTTATACAGTCTATGGTTGTGACTCAACACTGACATATCACCTTTTAAGTTGTAACGCCTAACATGTGGAGTGTAGATAATGGCATTTTTCTCTGAGACCAGGAACAGCTAGAGATAATGTGTCATTTGTTTTACTACAAATTGCAAAAAATAATTATAATAAATAAATATTAATATTATAATAACAATAATAATAATAAAGAGACTTCCCTATAAATCTTACTTTTTCTCTCAGGGACACATCTATAGCATACACAGTACTCTGGGGCCAACATAATATGTAACCACTCGTACTGCAGTCATATTCACTCAGAACCACAGCAGAGAAGGAGCAGAAGTTGAAGCAGTAGGCATGAACGTCCTTACCAAATAAGGATATCCTATGTCTGACAAGAACTCCCAGTTTGCAGAAAAGACTGAAAAGATTTGATGAAAGGAGAGAAGAGGTAGAGAGGGAAGCAGAGGACGAGATAAAATAGTGTGAGACAATCAACCAAGAGAAAGACAAAGAGAGAGCAGGAGAGATATAAAGGCACGCAGCCTGTCATACACAGGGAGTACATTAAATATAGTAGTCTCCAACATACATATTAATCAACAATAAAACATAAGTGCGAGCTACACCCTGCAATGCTGGCATGTTTGGATGTCTAATTTATGTCATTTGTCACACATACCTGGTCACCATCTCTTTCTCCTTGTTGGAGGCGTGGCCTCCGCTGCTGATTGGATGGATGGCTGTGGACAGGAAGTACAGCCTATGGTTTTTAAAGTACTGATCCACCAATGGCAAAACGACCTGAGGGTAAAATAACATAAATACAGAGAGTAATTACCCATCTGTCTGTCTTTTAAATACTAAACAATAGGTCTTAGGAATGGACTTCCCATGCAAAGAATTTGATTTCATCGCTAGAAAAATATTGATCAATACAACATACATACATTAAAAGATGTGATTTGAATAAAAGCAAATTAGATTAATTGAGATTATTTTAAATTTAATTGATCAGAACCCAGCATTAGAATTAGCAGCAGTTTCCATAAGCCCTATGAGTTCATCGGAAGGACTGTTACAACACATTCTCACTCTGATCTAGTTACATATCGACGTTTGGTCATGGACTTTCTACGTCAACTTATGAGGTACAAGGTACCTTGGGTGCGTTGGTTGTTGACATCCTGGGATGCTGCGTCAATTTCAGCATTTTCAGCGTTATATGCATTGTCTGATTTCAACATACATGTTATGTTTTCACAGGAAATGTACAGTTTGCATACAGTCTCATTCAAAATAAACACACTATGTCAGTACAACACTGCGAGTTGATGGTTTTTTTTTTCCTCAACAACAAACGCATTGGGTTACAAGTAGCCAACACACACTTTTAGGGGGGGAAAAAGAAGGTTTGGCTGTACAGTCTTAAAGATAGCAAAAACATGGCCTCCCGGGTGAAAGTCCATAGTTGTTGGACCCATCCACCACCCTTCCCACCCATCCTACTTGGACTTGCACCCCCTTAACTTGTGTTGTCCCCTTTTTATCTTTTTTCGTTTATCTGACACCAAAAGTCATTGACCAAGTGCTGTTATTTGACAACTTCAGAGTGAGACTGGGTTGACTGCTAAAGACAGGCTTGATGATTACTGCTGGATAACAGTTTTTATATTGCACATCATCAAGCACATTGTTACAAAAAAAAAAAAAAAACCCTCCAAGATTATAATAAACATACCCAAATACCTAACTGATTTATAAATCAAGTGAAATGATGAGTTCTGACCTTTCCAAAGAACTTAATCTGTTGTTCATGAGGAATCTTCTCTCCCTTTGGCTTTGTTCCCAGGTCTAAATGACAGAGAAATCACAATCAAAGACAATAAGGTCTGAACAGATTTGCATGGTGACATTCATCTGACACATTGCCTCGGGTGGTTGATCTAGGAGTAAGATTTTTATTTCATTATCAAAAATATTTAATTTGTGCTGCAAAGAGTCCATTGAAAATAGTAAAATAGTAGAAGTGTGGCAGCCAATAACCCTTAAAGAGCGAGAATTCTTCAGTTTTTAAACTGCACCCAGGGGAAGTACACTCAAAAAGTAGTCTTTTCTTGTGCCATTTTCACACGGGACTGGATACACCATGTGATATAGGAATTTATCCCGCACATTTCTTTTTGTATGTTTGTGAATGTAAGGCAGATGATTTCTGCAGGTATAATCACAAAAGAAGTAAACATAATATAGTACAAGTCCTGCACAATCACACTACCTTTCAAAAGATGTGCCTTACTATTAATGCCGTCAAGTGCAAACTGTATGTTACAAAAATTTGCATGGCCTTGGCTAAAAGACATGGTATATGTAGGCAAATTAAACGACAATAAATTGTGGGTATTGTATGACTACCAGGTAGCCACCAGCTGTGCACTCTGCTGTTATTTTGGTGACATGACACCTTCCTCTGCACCAGCCTTAATGGATCTAGACCAGAGTTCAGTTACACACAGCATTTGACATGAACACTGCACTACATTAATATAAGAACTGTCATTTGTTTATTACTGAATGAGTAACAGAAAAGTCTTACCAAACTCCATCATGTGTTGGTGTGCCTGGTCTACGTATGTGATGAGCTGCTGCAGGAAGGTGTAGGCAAATCGTTTCTCTATAGCTGGAGTGTCCAACTCCTGTGACTTCACACCTCTGGAAACAACATACACACTCTTAAAGGAATGAGCTGCCATTGTGCAAAATACTCTGCTAGCTTAGCTCTATCAAAGGTGAAAACATACCTTCCAACAGCTGGAAAGCTGTCCTATCTAACAGTTGTGTCTTGTTTATCTAACATGTTTAGATACTTATAACTATATCCTAACCAACAACAGCAAAGTGCACTGAATGCACACAAAATCTTAAAAGTCTGTAGTTGCTATTTATCATGATATAACATGGTATAACATACCTATTGATTTGTCTGAAGGTATTATTATTAAACTGGCTAGGCCAGCATTTCCCTCTTCTTATACTCTCAGTGGTATGTTAAGCTAAACACATCCAAAACCTTTCACACACACAGATGAAATTGAGTTCACTCTGGGTCAGACATTTCAGCAAACAAACACATTTCCTAAAATGTCAGCCTGTTCCATTAAATGTGTGAAAGAATACCCAGTAGCGATACACACTGTTATGCACACACTCTGTATGTCATCAGCCAAACCTTAATGCACACAGTGGGGGAAATAAGTTTTCAAGACATCAACATTTTTTTCATTAAACATATTTCCAATGCAACTTTTCACATAAAATTTAGACCTGGCATTGAAATTAACTCAATATAACCACAAGATAAAGGAAATGTAACATTCCAATCTGTAAAAAATGGTTATGTCCAATTAAGTGGAATGACACAGATAAAAAGTATTGCTGGAAGGTCCATTTGTGTCTCATCCTCTCTGTCCTGGTGGATGGCAACAGAGTCGTCTCGAGAATTTTCAGTTACATGGCTCCATTCATTTTGCTTTTGATCATTTAAATTCTAAACCAGAATTACCAACCCGCAGTTGCATGCCTTTGCGCACCAGTGAAGTTTCTCTTACAGTGTACATGGACACTTCACACTCATCGTCCCCCTGACAGCACGGAAGATCTAAACAATCAGCAAAGTTTCAAGGTGGGCACCCATGATTAGTGTCACCAATTCAGTATCTGACCAAATATGTTTTATGCTGAACATTATATCGCAGTGAATTTGACCTTTGACCTTTTGGATATGAAATGTCATCATTGAGTTATGGCCAAAAACATATTTTGTGCGGTCACAGTGACCTTGACCTTCAACCACAAAATTCAAATCAGTTTATTTTTCAGTCCAAATGGACATTTGTGTCAAATTTAAAGAAATTCAATCAATTACAACATCAAAAGGAAGATGAATAGAGCCGTATACCAGGAAATTCTTAAGAATCTGTCACCATCCACCAAGACAATGAGGATACGGTAAGGGTCGACTTCCCAGCAGGACAACGATCCACAACATACTGCAAAGAGATTGTCAGTTGGTTTAAGAGGAAGGAAAAAATGGCCCAGTGCTTGAATGGCCCAGTAAATCATCAGACTTAAAACCAATCAAAGATTCGTGGAAGGAACTGAAGATTAAGGTTCACCTGCAGAATCTTCTAGATTTAAAGACTATCTGTGTGAATAAAATCCATCCTGAACAGATACTGGCATTGCAAACAAAGATTTCTCCACCAAGTATTAAATAGATATCAGTTAGTGGGTTCAGCACTTTTTCTAGGGCAGATTTATTGATTTAATATCAATGTCTGGGTTAAATTTACTGAAAACAGCTGCAGTGAAAATATGTTTAATAAAAAATGTTGACATGTTGAATACTTATTTCCTTCACTGTGTGTAGGAAACTTACCTAAATTCAACTAATCAATCACATTCAAAATTCAAATGCACATTAGAGTAACTGCACCCTGTGTGTAAAGTTTTAAGTCTACTTCCTACCTGGACACAGTATAACCGTTGATCTGGAGGAACTTGAGAATGTCTTGTGCTTTTTCTCTGTCTTTGGATTTCTCTTTGGCAGTCAGTGTATCATAGGGAACCAGCAGAGGATGGTTCCCTCCACCTGGAGACAACAGCAACACGGCAGGATGGAAAATGAAAACAGAACAGATTATAGCTCACTGTATTAGTGGCACTGCCATCAGCTCAGAAGTTGGCATTTTTCTGATGACTGACTGATCAGTAGATTCTGATTATAATACAGTTTTGAGCAGTGTTTAATTGTTTTGTTCAGACAATTATGTCCACAACCCTGATGCATTTTTTTGTTTCAACAGAATATAACAGAAACAAAATAAAGTCAGTGATGATTGATAGCAGAAAAGGAAAATGTTTCGGGAAATGCAGTGCGCACCTGTGTGTGTGTGTGTGTGTGTGTGTGTGTGTGTGTCATATTCACCTTTGGCTTCCAGCTCCATTTTCTTTTTTCTGGCCCAGATATTATGATAATTCTCTGCAAGCAGCTCTGCCATAGACTGGATAAACACAATGTTACATGTACAAGACTCTATTTCGCTGCGCTTATCAATTCATCTATCAACCCACAATATCTTTAAGGTTTTATACTAATATCATTACTCTTCATTAGTGCTACAGCAGCCCAGTTAAACTCAGGGATCAAACACATTTTTAGTTTACTTGTTTGTATATATATTGTTTTATCTTTCTATGTATAGCCTAGGGCTTTATAGCTCTGGTCGGTTGTTCCACCAAATTCTAACTGGTCAGACAATTGCTGCAGTTACTTTAATAAGGCCGTGTATCCACCAAAGCGTTGCTTTACCCAGCTGAAAAAAGAAATGTGTTGTTGTTGAGTGCTTGTATTTGTTCTCTGTGATGATTGGTCTATGCTGTATTTGTTCCACCACTTCTCCACTGTGATTGGACGGCTGGTGACAATGAGGAGCGAAGCATTTCACTCAAAGTTAAACATATTTCAACTTTTGTTTTTAATCAGAAAAACTGATAACATTTCACAGAAGAAATTCAGTGTTTGACTTATCATTATGGATTTATTTTACTTAAAGTCACAGCAGTTCAAGGCAGATCTTTCTCATTAGTTCTATTCAGTGGTGGTGAGATAAACTTGTGCACAGCAGATCAGGTGGAAAAGTGTTAAATGTGCACATTTTTTTTCCACTCCAGGCATTCACTTGCCTGAGTTAACTTACCCTGGGCAAGTGTTAATGTCGACCTTTGTGACAGAAAAAAAAAGGCTTTTGGTGGACACACAACTCCACCAGTAGAGTGCACTTGGTGCAATGTGGTAATTTAGATAACCTAAAGATAACCTGTGCAGAATTTTAACCCCATTGGCAAACCAATTGGTTGAAGAGTCGGTGGAATTTTAGTTAACCAAGATTTTCTTTAGTTGATTACAGCCGTAGTGCACAGTAACCTACCTGCATGTCTCTGGACAGTGTAACATTGCTCATGTCGATTGGTCTGGGGCTGAAAGCTGGAGCTCCTTCAAAAGACAACTGTGGAAAGACAGGATAAACTGTATGTTGATGTCACTTTTCATGTTGTTTTCTATTTTTTATAAACATGAAGTAAATGTGTATTTGCAAATGTGTAACTGTGTGTGCCTATTTGTGTATACCTGGCTGGCCTGTGATATCCTCCTGGACTTATTGTGGAGGCTGGCAGGGTCGCCCTCTCTGATCCTGTCGATGCTCCAGCCCCATGACAGCATGGTCTTCAGAGACTCTCTGACTGACCAGCAATACGCCTCCTTATCCTGCAAAATGACAACCAATCTTTAGACAAAACCTGACAGTGAGTTAGTACCTCTCCAAAATATTTCACCTACAAAACTGCAATACACCACAAGATACTGTAACCTCAAGTGTCAAAGATACAGTATTTCCTTGCCATTGATCCTGAACGGTTTCCAAAAAGAATGCTAAGAAATCCAGACTCATGTCAGGCTAGTGATAAATGGCACACTAGAATCAGGATTCCACGAGCTGACACTGTTTCAAAGCTGGCACTCATAGAATCTACCCAAATCCTGCAGCCATTTGTTGGGCCAGATCTGGCTCACATTTGCTTAACAGTGTGCTGTGACACAGTTGAGTGCAGTAACACTTACAGTAGGTACCTGGCTAGGTTAAGTCAAAATATTGCAATTTAGCTTAAGAATGAGAACAGAAAGTGAGACTCAGACAGCTGCATGCAGACTACCTTCTCGGAGAGGCCTTTGTATGGTTTTAGTAAAGGGTGGCTCTTGGAGATTTCACAGATCTGGTCCCCATATGACCAGCCATTGGAAAACTATAAAACATACATACGAAACATTTTAAACTTCATTCAGTTTTCATGCAGAATGTAACTACTGAGACGTCAGTTTAGCGTTCCCTAAGTCAGTGTTTCCCAACTGGTCCAGCCAGGGGGCCAGATTTGTCCTCAGTCATTAGTTCTAGGTCCACATAGTTTAATACATTTAGCATCATACCTGCATTTGTCCACGCTAGTTGGTTGTCTCTGTTAAGTAGCTGTCTGTTAGTCACTCACTTTACACAAGGTAACAGCACTTCAAGACAAAAGTTCTGTGCCAGAATTTCACTGTACTTAAAAATAAAGTGTGTTTTTTACAAACTTGACACTTGTCACTTGGGTTTCATTCAGAATGGACCCGTGACCCTCTTTTGGACCATGACCCACCAGTTGGGAAGCACTGCCTTAAAACATACCAGCAGCAGGACCACCACTTTTCATGTTGACTAGTGAACATTATGTGTCCTTACCCTTTCTATACACCACTTCTCATGGTTGTGCTCGGCATATCTGGTTACGAAATAGTCCAGTTTCTCTGGGACAGTCACACTGATAGGGAAGGATAGAAAAACAAAACACAACAGAATTTAAATCTGATGACAGCATTTCTTTGGATGTTTTTGCTTTGATAAATTCCCCACTGTATCTTCATAAGAATCTGAATATGGATCCGCCCTAAAAAAAAAAAAAACTTCAGAAACTGAACTTATTTAGCAAAGAAGAAATAAATCAGCTGTATACTTGGTAGTGTCTGCAGGCTGTGGAGTGAAATTTCCCTCTGAGTCCATGGATGACTGTTTCTCCATCATGGCCATGTAGTTGGACTCCATGTAGTCTGGAGGCAGAGCTCCAGCCACAGCACTGAGACATGGTAAGGCCAGCTTGAACAGTTCCTGGTCATAGCGCTACGTAAAAAAAACATATACACAGCTTTAAACATCACAAGATAGCACTGTTGTGCTTACACCACACTTCCTGTCCTTTTATGTTACTTTTCTTTTTTGCATTATTGCATGTACAGACACAATATGCAGCAAATCAATGATGCACTGATGGAAAAGGTCAGCCACAGAATTTGACGGTACCCTATGAGCAACCACAACTATAAACACAAAGAAATGACCTGTACTAATGTTATCATCACCACAGTATTCAGGTTTTTGAGTGTTTATCAAATACTAATTTTACACTCTTTTTGACACTGAAGTTTGTCTGCCTGTGAAAACTGTTGTAATGTCACCTGTGTCTCTCGAGGAGTTTTGTCAAGTCTGAAACCCTTCTGATATCATAGTGATGTCAGCAAGGTTTTCAAAGCTTCAGCTTTGAGAATACATACTTACAACAAAAATATTGATTTAAAAAGTGGGAGATGTGGGGTTTGAAAGATGTGTTATCTCAGATGGGACAAAACAACACCTCAATTGCTCAGATTTATATATGTCCGTGTCTAAACTTTGAGGAAGTGTAACACAAAATTAGGAGTACCCCCCCAACACATTTGCTTATTTAATTTTTCACCTAGTTTCCTTTATTTTCATTTCATGTTCCACAAACAGGTCTAGACTAGAACCTTACCTTTCGGGACAGAGCATCAAATATTCCCCAGAACAGCTTCCTGGAGAGATGAAGCTCTTCATCTGATGCAGCTCCAAAGCTGCCCCAGCCTCCAGCCAGGCAGTAATACTTCCAACAACGCTCATAGTGATTGGTCAACAGCTGGGGAAAGTCAAGAGGATATTCATCAACCATCTGGCTGGATTTACGAACCAATTTCAATTCAACAGTGTAACCCATGGTACACATTATATCAGTACAAGATCACACAGAGATATTGATGCAAAGAAAAAGGATTGTGTTGTTGACAACTGTATGAGAATAAATATGTTTTCTGAATGTGTTGTAGAATGCAATTTTTATTAAACTCCTCCTATATTACAATGACACATAATCACAATTTCATGTTGGAGTGGAGAATCTTGCTCTTTGTGAATGTTGTCTGAGCTGAGGTAAAAGAGTAGAAACGTGCATGTTGCAGATTGTAGTGTAAAATAAACCTTATTACAAGGGGTGTGTCATATCATATTATTTACAATAATATCAGCATAATTTTTAAATATGATATGAAAATCATGATCCTCGCAATATTTCAACTTGTTGGCATTTTGATGTCATACTGTTACACATGGTGACAACAGGCATGGCTGAAAGCAAAATTATTACCGACTCTGCGGTGGTTCCAAAAAGAGCAGCTTTAGTAGTGTGGAATAAACTGTGGTGTCCTAAATGTTTTATGAACAGCCCCCGGACTTCACACATTTTATTTTGTTGTACTATTGATATTGTATGCAGAATCTGAATTTCACTCTGAGTTACTGTTGTTGTTTACAAACTAAAGAAATGAGAGATCATTTTTGTTTAGTTTTTACTGAATATTTGAAGTAAAATTGACTATAGCACTTATTTTGCAGCAATTCTATGTTCTTAAATTAATAATAAAAGTTTTTTTACTAATTTCTCCTATCGTCAAATTATCGATATTGCAAAAATACCCTGGAATATTGTGATATTATTTATGGGCCATAGTCCCCGTAGATTCAATTGAAAACCTCTGATTGTCCCTGATTGGGCAGAGATATAAGTGAAATTTGTTTCTCACCTTTAGAGGCATCTTGGTGTGTTCATTAAGCAGAGGAACGTCAAACACCAGCCTCCTCAGCAGATGCTGCATCATTGAAGGCCTCAGTTTACTGTACATGATCCAAATGACACACATTAGTTGGTTATTTTCACCGGCACACATAAACAGTATTAAAAGAGTGGAACCAGAACAGATCTTTGGACAAATCAAAACAAGAAAGACAAATGGAAATTTAATATTCACAAAACACATATAGGAAATGCTTCATAAAGATACATCAATGGAAATGAGTAGGGAATTTAAATGAGAATATGGTTATTAGTTTAATCTTTTAGTTTAAATGGCTAAACTCAAAATATTACAGTGTGGCTGAGGTGTGTTCTAAACTGAAGTTTAAATAAGGATTACTTGCACCATATTTAGTTTTATTTTAGTTTAACTATTTTAGATACCAAATCAAAAGCACATGTCAGAATCTTGCTCCCATGTGTTTTAACAATCATTTACACTGAAGGACTCTGATGACTCTCACACATGTACATCAGTTTTGTCTCTGTCTGTCTTACCCACAAACAGCCAGTAGACACTCCTCTATAGCATCCCTCTGGGCCTTGGTAAGGCAGCAGCCTTTGGACAGGCGGTAAACCGTGTGGAGAAGGGAGTCGATCAGCGAGGCAAATGGCTCCGTTCCCGCAAACAGTGGCGCACATTTGGTCAAGAGAGGCAACACAGCTGTGCACAGATACCTGTTGAGGGCGAGTGCCATGTCTGTGGCACTGAGAGCAACCTGACACAAACACAGTGACAGAAGAAGAGAGAAAAAGGTAGAGAGAAGACTATAGTTGAGTGTGCCATTGGATTTGCTCTGGGAAAACTGTGCACTCTAAGGGCAGTGATGTGCAAGGTGTGTTGGTGAGTAGAAATGACCACTAGTGACACAAACACACACTTACAGTGTCTAGGGAGGCAGCAGCTCTCAGGTCTGGTAAGAAGCCTACTTCCAGGAGGTGTAGCAGGAAGTTTTGGTCTTCTATACCGTAGACTCTGTCCAGGAACAGAACCATGGCCGCTTTATGATCTGGACAGAAGCCAGCTGACATGTCTGGCTCCACCACCAACCCATCTATGCATGTCGAGGCATCCCATAATACACATACACAAAAACACAAACAAACAAGATTGAAGTCTAGATTTAACCATCAACCAAATCACTGCTTTTATTGCGCTTTTAATTTCCGTCTTTGATCCCATCCTCGACCTGTTTAATATCAGGATTACTGTGAAATGCATGTCATGCAGAAAGTGTGGGTACTGCACAGTTTGCTTACCTTTATTCAGGCTGGGCATGGAGAATGGAATGCTGATGACTCCCACCAGGTCTTCAATAGGAATCAGAGACCTCAGAATGGCTCTGATACGGATCGCTTCGCCTTTACCAGCATGGATTAACTGATAGAAAAAGGGTTGGGTTAGTGTATGTGTATCTATGAGTCTCTCTCTGTGTTTGTGTGCGTGTGTGAGTGTGTGTTTGTGGTCACTCACATGCATCTCTGGAGCACAGCGACCCAGCAGGTCAATGAGAGCAGCATAGAAGGTCATGATGGCATTTCCCATGTGGATGGTATCATCTTCCTCTTCCTCCAGCATGTCACTGCTACACACACACACACACACACACACACAAGTTATTGATGCTACTAAATACTTCAGACCACTTTTATCTCAAACAGGGCAGGTTCTATAATTCCTCACTCAAGCAACAAAAGACCTACAGTGTGGATGAACAACTGATTTCTCTCCATTCAGTGAATGTAGATACACAGATCTGGGATGGATACTACTATAGAGTGTATAAAATACTGGACATAGCCACAGTGAAATCACCCACTGGTTTATGGACTCACATTTTGAAGTCTCAAGTTTGGCATTTTGGCCGTTGCCATTGTGGATTTTTGGAGCCAGAGGGTAGAGATATCCCAAACGCTAGCTGCTAGCTTGGTTAGTTTGTGGCTTTTACAGCTATGATTACCTGTAGTATTGCCTTTGCTAATTTCTGCTAGCAAAAAACAAGCTTACAACCATTAAAACAAAATGTACTGTATTACACATAACTTAAAGCCTTAACATTTAAACAGTCAACTGTCAACATGTTTATTTCTGCTGTAAAATTGGGCCTTTTAACATGGGGGTCTATGGGGACTGACTCGCTCTTGGAGCAAACCCCAAGTGGCCATTAGAGGAACTGCAATTTTTGGCACTTCCCACAGTGGCTTCATTTTTTTAGCCCAAGAGGTTGCTGCCTGGGATATAACATGTGTTTTGTTTGGAACAGATAGTGTGTATTGTTTCAACAACAGCACTGATCTACTAAACTGTAAATGACACTGTAAAAAACAAGGCACAATTTAACTGTAAATGAGACTTTTTTTCCTAAAATCTCATTATCTAATACTGTAAGAGCAGATGAATGAGTGGTAAGGATGTTGTCTTACAGTGTCTTGCTGCTCTCAGATGTAGGAGAGGGACCATCTCTGGTGAGATCCTGAGAGATCTTGATGGCCTCCTCCATCGCTGCCAACAACCCATCACCACCTTCACCCCGGAGGGCCGGGCCAAAACATTCTGGTCGGCGAATCAGCAGCCTCACCACAACATTGGCATTCTCCTCCACACTTTCACCTGGCCACAGAATGGAAGTGTGCATGACAACATGCTGGGTGCCAAATATGTACAGTACAGGCCAAAAGTTTGGACACACCTTCTCATTCAATGCGTTTTCTTTATTTTCATGACTATTTACATTGTAGATTCTCACTGAAGGCATCAAAACTATGAATGAACACATGTGGAGTTATGTACTTAACAAAAAAAGGTGAAATAACTGAAAACATGTTTTATATTCTAGTTTCTTCAAAATAGCCACCCTTTGCTCTGATTACTGCTTTGCACACTCTTGGCATTCTCTCCATGAGCTTCAAGAGGTAGTCACCTGAAATGGTTTCCACTTCACAGGTGTGCCTTATCAGGGTTAATTAGTGGAATTTCTTGCTTTATCAATGGGGTTGGGACCATCAGTTGTGTTGTGCAGAAGTCAGGTTAATACACAGCCGACAGCGCTATTGGACAACTGTTAAAATTCATATTATGGCAAGAACCAATCAGCTTACTAAAGAAAAACGAGTGGCCATCATTACTTTAAGAAATGAAGGTCAGTCAGTCCGGAAAATTGCAAAAACTTTAAATGTGTCCCCAAGTGGAGTCTCAAAAACCATCAAGCGCTACAACGAAACTGGCACACATGAGGACCGACCCAGGAAAGGAAGACCAAGAGTCACCTCTGCTTCTGAGGATAAGTTCATCCGAGTCACCAGCCTCAGAAATTGCAAGTTAACAGCAGCTCAGATCAGAGACCAGATGAATGCCACACAGAGTTCTAGCAGCAGACCCATCTCTAGAACAACTGTTAAGAGGAGACTGCGCCAATCAGGCCTTCATGGTCAAATAGCTGCTAGGAAACCACTGCTAAGGAGAGGCAACAAGCAGAAGAGATTTGTTTGGGCCAAGAAACACAAGGAATGGACATTAGACCAGTGGAAATCTGTGCCTTGGTCTGATGAGTCCAAATTTGAGATCTTTGGTTCCAACCGCCGTGTCTTTGTGAGACTCAGAAAAGGTGAACGGATGGATTCCACATGCCTGGTTCCCACTGTGAAGCATGGAGGAGGAGGTGTGATGGTGTGGGGGTGTTTTGCTGGTGACACTGTTGGGGATTTATTCAAAATTGAAGGCACACTGAACCAGCATGGCTACCACAGCATCCTGCAGCGACATGCCATCCCATCCGGTTTGCGTTTAGTTGGACTATCATTTATTTTTCAACAGGACAATGACCCCAAACACACCTCCAGGCTGTGTAAGGGCTATTTGACCAAGAAGGAGAGTGATGGAGTGCTGCGGCAGATGACCTGGCCTCCACAGTCACCGTATCTGAACCCAATCTAGATGGTTTGGGGTGAGCTGGACCGCAGAGTGAAGGCAAAGGGGCCAACAAGTGCTAAACACCTCTGGGAACTCCTTCAAGACTGTTGGAAAACCATTTCAGGTGACTACCTCTTGAAGCTCATGGAGAGAATGCCAAGAGTGTGCAAAGCAGTAATCAGAGCAAAGGGTGGCTATTTTGAAGAAACTAGAATATAAAACATGTTTTCAGTTATTTCACCTTTTTTTGTTAAGTACATAACTCCACGTGTTCATTCATAGTTTTGATGCCTTCAGTGAGAATCTACAATGTAAATAGTCATGAAAATAAAGAAAACGCATTGAATGAGAAGGTGTGTCCAAACTTTTGGCCTGTACTGTACATGCATTTAATTTTAAAGCCTAAGCCTATTTTATAGGTATCTGCTTGAAAATTGCATACCCATAATGAAATGAAATATCTTTGCAACCACAAGGTCAATTTGAATACTTTTGGTGTCACGGTAAAGGAAACACTTGTGAGATTTGTTAAGATGTGTAAATATCAGTATATGTGTTATATGTGAAGAGTAGATAAAAATGGCACACAGCACAAATGAAACATTTTGAGGTTCGTCTAAAAAAAAAAAAGCATTTTCAGGATGAGTATCCCTTTGGAATGATGCAGCTGCAGCTCTAAACCTCTATCAAATCATAGTACAACATGTGAACATTAACTCTGCAAAGGCTGATTCTGATAAAGTGAAGCAGAACAATATTAGATAGGTTTAGGACAGAAAATCCAGGCAAGCTCTCCAAAATTGTACCATGTTTGCATGTGATTTTTGTCATGTACAATCCTATATCTTTCATTTTTTTGTTTCTGTAAATCCCTAATGATGTTTAGGATATACACATACAACTGTCTGTTTCATTTTTTGTTTTTTTCCCCTCTATTTCCCACTTCAAACTGACCAATACACACATACTACATTTGAAACTGAGTTTCTATTCTGAGCTTTGGAGGCCTGTATCTCCGTGACGGCTTGGTCGATTTGAATGACTGACACCTTGTTTGATTCATTACAGCCAATAGAATGACGCTATACCCAAACAGAGTCAGCACAACGCGTTGTGGGGAGATGTCAGCTGCTGTGAGTGGTCATTGTTGCTTATCCCCAGAACCTCCGGCCGTCAAGTTTTCCGCCTGGATTCATTTGAATGACGGACAACATGTCGGTCAATGGGAATGAAGCGTGATTTAAAGGCAGAATGAGCTTTTCACGGCAAAAACAAGGTAAGAGAAATATTACAAATATATTTTGGCGAAAAGATTTCTGTTGTTGTTGTTCTTTGGCCTCTATCTCTCTGAAGCTTTGGTGTAGCGTGCTTTGGCGTATATGTGTGGAAACAGCGGAGTCTCAGCTTTCATTTGAGATTAACGTCGAGTGTTTTGACTATACCGAGTGGGTCAGGATATCGGTGCTGTAAGGAGTTGGATTTGTTGTTGTTTATTTAGTTGTTGTTTGAGCTGTGTTTGGGGCATGTAAAAATGTTTATTACAGCCTTGTAGCCCAGGTTCTGCTGTTTAATTTGATGTGTAACATCACTATATTCTTCGTGATCAGTGCATTGTTTCACACTGTGTTTGCATAGTCCCTCTCTAAGTCCTTAGTCTCTTAGCTTAGAGACAACAGTTTCTTTTTGAAAAGAACAGCTTTGACTCTGAGGAAAAGGGACTTTTGAACTGAGACAGTTTCAATTTTTTACCGTTACAGAAGACAGCAAAGCGCAGGAAGTCGAGGTAGCGTTCACCCTCCACAGGGTTCCAACCAATGTCAGGGTATCCTTTACGCACCAGCATTACACAGCTCTGCAGCCCACAGCCAGCCAGGTACTGGACTACCTGCACAGGCAGACAAAGTGACACATTTTTACACTGCATGATTCACTACATCATCTCATCAAATAATGTAAAAACTCTAACCACATATGAATGAGTAACAGGTTTATTATTGGAAAAAAAAAAATGACCAAAAAAAGCCATACAAGTGAATTTATTTTTTCGTTGTGTGTGTGTGTGGGTCTGATATACATGACTGGTATATACCATACATAGATTCTAATATGAAGTCCACTTCCATTTACTGTATATAGCTGGTGTACACTTACTATAAGAAACACCTCTCAGAATAAAACAATACAAGTCAGCATCAGCATAAACTGTTGCCGAAAAAGTAACAACATTTAATCAACAACTCTCTAACAAAGCTTCAGCAAAAGCTGGGTTAAGGTTTGTCACCTTCTCCAGGTCAGGCTCTCTTAAAGCCAGGGCCAGTTCATTATTATCCATGACTGATGCTGCAGCCACATCCAGAGGAGTAGATCCTCGCATGGAAGGAGATGCTGAGGAGAGGAGGAAAGAGAAGGAGAGGAAAGGGGAGGAAAACATAATTAATACAAGTACACCTAAGAGGAAAGGAGCCTATTACCAATAAAACAACAGAGGTGTATCTGTAGTTGCTTCATGGATGCTGCCGTTACCTCAGCCATTAACTGGATACACATTTGCTTGGTGAAAGTGTTGTTTTTCCTGCCAGCCTCACTGAGCGACTGACAAAGTGTTGTGGTCTGTCTGTGTGTCTCAAATCACATACTTCTGTCCTAAACACTTAATATTTTGAGTGCAAAAGTGACACTGCATATGCAGAGTACTTCTGGTGCACTCAAAACGGTCCAAAAGTTGAGTGTGGAATGATGGAGGCTTCGGCTTCTAAACTTTAACAGTCGCCATCTTTGAGATGTAGTGGAAGCCTCTTTTCAACTTTTGACATGGTGGCTGGAGAGAACAAGGAGCCTGAGCTGCCTACAGTGAACACCACCACGTTATACAGATTTAAGTTACATGTTTTTTGCACTAAGTACCAATAGTGTTGTCGAATAGAAGCCATCAGTAATGTTTGTTGGATCTGTAATGATTTGGCACCATGAACAACAATGTGGGTGCTATCGTTAGCTTGTTAGCTAATGTTAGCATTCACTAGCCAGCTAACTTGCTCCTAGCCGGGTCATCCCTATGTTTCCTGGGTTCTATGTTCCCCGCTTACCACACAAAAAGGTTCTATGTTCCCCGTTCAACCAAAAAGGGTTCTATGTTTCCTGCTTGGTTGAGCAAGGAACACAGAACCTTTTTTGTGTAAGCGGGGAGTATAGAACCTTTTTTGCAGGGTTAAGTGGGGAACATAGAACCCGGGAAACATAGAACCCGGGAAACATAGATACGCTCCCCTCCTAGCTACGGTGGCACATTTTAAGCAGCACTGATATTGTGGCGTGAGTTTTGTTTATGTGTGGGCAGACATAGCAGTCAAATGTTGGTAATAATGCTCAGCTGTCTCTTTGCAATTTGCTGTTTACCAAGAAGACAAAGAAGAAGAGGCAGTTAAAAAATAAAAGGACATTATTACTTCCAGTGAGTGCAAAACAACAGGGCGCGATTTGAGATAAGGTACTCTCCCAGCACAAGTGTTCAGTAATTGGTTGAACACATGAGCCAATGCAGGACCAGCAAATGCCATATTCAAAAAATTTTAGCTGTGTAAATAATAGACAAGACCAAACACAAACAACAGCTCATAACAACAAAAATGTAAGAAAACACGGACAAACGGAATGACAGTGATGTCAAGGCTTTACTGTGCGTATATGAGACAGGGGAAATACAGTGCAGTATGACTTCTACACCAGCCACAGAGAGCTCAAGGGAGAAGTAAAAATGACAGAAGCAGAAGGTACACTATAAATCACACATACTCACCAAGGCCAACACTGCTGTTCTCCAGCAGGTAGCTGAGGTGGTCAAACATAGCTTTCTGGTTCTGACGGCTGATTCGACAGAAGTAACAAAGAAAACGACAGCAGTTGGCCACCATTTTAGGAAAGGTGATTTCCTGCAAAAGAGACTTAATGTCAGACAAATTTAGGCAGCAATATCGTATTTTCATCATAAATGGTATATTGTCCATAAAATTCTATCACTTTATGTATTCATTTAAATATCTTTGCACTCTCAGTAAAATTTTACAAGTTCTAAACAATCCAGTTTTGAGACATCCAGACATCTATTTTTAGACAACGCTGATACTTAATGCCAAAAACAAGAGATAAACCACATGTACACAAAATGTATGAGAGCCACATTTGTGATTCAGTTAAGCTGTTTCTGGTCCTGGTTTCTTTCTACATCCTGATCCAGCTTCAGTACTTCAGTATATTTTCCGTCCCTTCAGCTTATACATACTTCATACCTTGGAGTCTCCTCCACTGAGTACATTGACCATGACCTCCATGACAGTCTCATGCATCCCCAGAGCTCTCATCAGGTTAGGATGTTGGTAGAACACCTTGTTGTTCATGATATCACTGTGGAGGAAGGGGGGGGGGGGTGTCAGAGAGAAGTGAAAGGTCAGCTTAGTTGACTAAGCATTTTATACATAGTATATTACACTTAAAGTAGAACAGAGTGACTTAACATAGCATATTAGGGTTGTGCTACATCTTAATCCAACAATTTTTGCTTTTGTCTTTGTATTTTGCAATGCTAAGTATTTAAATTAATTCCAGTGTTACAAAACTGGTTGGTATTTTGTATCTCTCATGTATTGCATGTATGGATCACAGGGATTTCTCCTTAATGACAATTTACAACAAAAAACATTGATCACAGAATTCCTCACATTCATTGATTCCTAACAGTGGAGTATCTGTCAATGTTTTTTTGGGGTATTTCAGATCTAATTGTTTCATTTTTTTAAAGATGCCAGACAACTGGTTCAAAATATAAACCATATCCTCTTCATTGTTTTTCATTATCTTTCACACTTGTAATTCAGTCAGTTTGGTACAGACTTAGGGAAAAAATCCATAGTTGCCTAGCACCCTGTATGTATTGGCAAAAAGGAGCTGCAGCACCTTCTCTAGAAAAGGGAAACCGGGGACCCCTCCTGGAGCCAGACCTGGGAGGGGAGCTCGCTGGTGAGTGTCTGGTGGCTAGGCCATGACCCCTGTGGCTTGACTAGGCACAGCCCAAAATAACTACATGGAGCTGCTGTCCTGTGGGCCCACCACTTGCAGGGATAGGTTTTGGGATTGGGTGCATGGTAGGCAGCAGGCAATCACAGACTGGCTCACCTCTCTGGTAGAGAAAGAACTGGAATTGATTCGGGAGGTGGAGCAGTACCAACTAGATATACAGTAGTTGGGCTCACTTCTACCCATGGCACTGGGTCTGGCACTAAACTCCTGGAATGGTGCTGGATTCTCACCTTTTCCGGAGTGTCCAAAGTGAGAGGCGCTGGGCAACTGTGGGGATACTCATAAACCCCTGGCTGAGCACTGCTGTGTTAGAGTTTTCCATGGGGAATTATAGGGTCGCCCCATGCCATTGCGAGTCACTGAGAGGAAGTCTGTGACTGTTGTTTGTGCTTATGCACTAAAAATCAGCTATGGGTACCCAGACTTTTTTGAGTCTCCAGGTGGCATCTTGGAAAGGAGAACCTCTGGGAACTCAAGTAGTCTAGTGTACTCTAGTCTAGTATACTCAAGTATAGTTCTACTAAGGGACTTCAACGCTTGCATGGGTAACGATGAAGAAACCTGTAGGGAGTGATTGGGAGGAAGGGCCTAAAACTGAGTGGTGTTTTGGTATTGGGCCTCTTTTCTAGTCATGGATTGGCCCTAACAAACACCATATTCGAGCATAGGGTGATTCATAAGTGTACTTGGCACTTTGACCACCCTAGGCCAAAGATCGACGATTGACATTGTGGTCGTATCATCAGATCTGCGGTCGTATGTCTTGGAAACTCAGGTGAAGAGAGGAGCAGAGGTCTTGATTGATTGCCTCCTGGTAGTAAGTTGGATTACTGGGCAGAGAGTGTGCTCCAATTATCAATCACATTGCTTATTCTCCCTGGAAAAGTTTATTTCGAGGCACTTAAAGGAGGCTCTAGCCAAATGTTGAAACCCCAGATCCAGGGGAGTTATGGGAGATTGCCCATCTGGTCTATATGTGTTTTGTGAACTTGGAGAAGGCTTAAGACCAAGTCTCTCATGGAGTCCTGTGAGGGTTAGGGGGTTGCTCTTGTATGAGCCATGTGGTCCTTACATAACCAAAGCAAGAGCTGTGTCCATATTCTTGGCACAGTGTCAAACACATTGTCAGTGGGTGTTGGCCTCTGCCAGGGTTGTCCCTTGTCATGATTCTGTTTTTGATATTCATGGAGAAGATCTCAAGGTGCAGCCAGAGGGAGGAGACTGTGTTTCGCAATTGTGCTGATCACTTATGTGTTATTAGACTAAACTGCATTTTACTACACGCTGTGCTGAGACACACATGAAACATTTCTTAACATAACATGAACATATTTCAATTACTTATTGGTTTTATGATAGGTCAGTATAGACATCTGTCCGGGTGTTCTAACCAATAGAAAGTCACTTGAAATATACTTTTAACAAGACAGAGGAGTGGACCAAAGAATATCAGAATCAGTGTTCAGGAGCTTGGCAGATGAGTGTGTTCTCACCCTAGCCCTCTGATCATCAGTTTCTCCTCCTCTCTTCCCATACGCACACTCAGCAGAGATCTAATCTGACCCAGAGCAGCCAACAAGTTGATGGTGTCCTCAATCGATACTGAATTTATAGTGTAGGTCTTCGGAAGGGCCCGCACCTGGACAAATAGAGACAGATTCATATCTTTTAAAACTTATTGCTAAGGTCGACACATTTCCTTTACTGTCAGAGACTTTATATTAATGTGAGAAGCTGTAGAGACTGCAGAGTGAGTAGGACTATTCTGTTCACAGTGATCATACTTAAAGAGAGACCATGCAACAGAGTGAATTCTTCTTACAGTTACTATGATTTACTCTAACCAGTTATACTGTTCCTTTAAAGTCATATGTTAGTGTTACACATACTTGTTGAGAACATTAATTTAATAATTGTCTCACATCTGTCTAAAAGATATAACATTTTCCTTTCCTTCCTTCTTGGATGTTGCTGTTATGTGGTACTGTATGTGCCTTGACCATCAGGCCCTGCGGCACCCAATGTATGTAATTTTCTAATGTAACAGTGTAAACAGGGTCTTCAGTGCTATGGTGTTTCTACTAAAAGGAATACACACACATACAAACCTACCTGTCCCCCAATGCCATCATACTGGCGGTGCAGCAGGACAAACATGGCTCTGACAAGCTCTGGATCCTCAATAACTGACTCCTGAGCCCAGCGGACCATCGTATCTGAAATCAACTGCTGTAACGTACCTGAAGAAACAGAAACACAGAGAAAGAGTTAGGGAATACTGGGGGACTGTGGGCTCATAATCAGAAAATCTTATGTATTCTCAATTTTAATTTTTTTTTTTTTTGCATATTTTTCACTTCACTGGGACTTATGAACTTATGAACAGCTCATACACAACACAAGTTGGAAATAACGGACTAACAAGAAGAAATTATATATTTATAAGGCTGCAGGTGCATGAAGAACATATAGACACAAATGACGTTTTTTTTCTTTGAGAGAGAGAGTGAGAGAGAGAGAGAGAGAGAGAGAGAGAGATGGGAAGATAGATAATGAACAAACATACCAGGTGAGTAAGTACTCTTGGAAGACAATTTTTTGAAGACAGAAGAAGACTTCTCCAACAAATTTTCCAAATTCTTTGACTTAATGTTACCAATGGGAATCCTGTTCATCCATATAAGAAAACCCTTTAAGTGCTGGTGGAGTCAGTAATATTTGTAACCTTCCACAATCAGGGAGTGTCTGATGTAAGATGTAGGTAATGCTACAAGAAAGGTCATGGGGTCATTCAATTTAAAAGGACTCTTCCATCAGTCACCTGAATGTACTCACCACATTTCATGGACATCTGATGATTTCCATGACAATTTATGAGACATCATCTGTGTGATGCCAGTTTTTTTTCCCTGAACCTAAATTGTCAGATGTTCACATGTACACCACCTCTGTCTGTCTGTGTATCAGGTGGTGCAGAAGACTTACTGGGTTTCCTGTCTTTTTTCTCCTTTGGCAGGTTAGCCATCTTCTTCTTCAGGTAAGCCACTTTCTCCACCAGTGAAATGAGTCGACCTCGGATGGTGAAGTCACTGTCACCATCTATCCCTCTCTCCTCATCCAACTCTATACCTGGCCAAATGGAAAAATCAGTCCACAGCGCATACTGTATTTTTGCAGTTAATGAATATACAGTAGAGATGCACCCATCACTTGGCTGGTGACCTGAACAGGCAGATTTTCAGCTTCATCAGACATGACCGCTGACCAGTCACTGTAAGATATAGCTGATCCTGTGCACAACAAACTTAAATGCATGCGCTGCACGACAGTTTTCATTGTGGGCATAGCAGCACAGACAGTAATTGACTGTTGTCACAAACCATTCTCATTCCCATCAAATACCTATGCTTTGTCAGGCCCCCTCATTAGTGACTTAATTTTTTAAAGCAACTAATGCACTCAAGTGACTTTTTTGTTTCTTTTAGATTTTTTTTATTGGCTTTTTGCATTTATTTGATAGAACAGCTTATGACTGACAGGAAAGGGGGAGAGAGAGGGGAATGACATGCAGCAAAGGGCTACAGGTTGGAATCGATCCCAGGCCGCTGCAGTAGGGACACAGCTTTGGTACATGGGATGCCTGCTCTACCAGGTGAGCTAGTGGGTGCCCCATTAAGCTACTTATTAAACTAACAATTGAATTTTCCAATAAAGAAAATCAGAATGGGCCCAAATTGGATTTGGCAGGTCAGACTTTTAAAAAATCTGAATTATTTTAGTTAATGTTTGGTTAGCTGTGTAGTTGAAGCTGAATGGTAGTTTACCACAGTGTCTCATTAGGTCCTCATGAAAGTCGAGCAGCTGTTCCCGGATGTATTCAGGACAGGGACAATCCTGCTTCTCATCCTTAAAGTTCAGCAGCATGTTGATCTGCAGAAACACATGCGGGTGTGATTGTGATACAATTCTTGCTCATTAAATGCTTCCACAACAACTGCTACGATTACATCACAGAAATCCAACATACATCTCTTCATAGATTTGAATGTTGGGAGCATGTTCCAACAAGTGTGTAGAAAAGATGCTATTTGACTTGGGGTCTACATTGTGTTTCAGTATTCATGTCTCCACCAACACTAGGAGCCAAAGCAACACAGAGTGGAAAGTTGTTGAGTCTGTTCCATGTAAAATGTCTTTAAAGTCTCAGCTTTCATTTCACTTGATTGTCCGCTGTTCTTGAATACAAATTGTTATTCTCCAATCTGCCCCAGTCTCTTGTACAACCAGTTTCTCTGCATGGTTCTGTCCTCCAACCCAGACCCTCTCTCCTTCAGTGTTGTTCCTACCTGTTCCTGTGGAGGAGATCTAAACTCTTTGGTCTTCTTGGCAGTGAGGGCTGCAGACATATTCAGTGCCAGCATCACCTCATTGTAGCGGAAGCGCTGGTTGTCTTGGAGACAGGCCACAAAGTCATCAGAGAAGGCCACTACCGCCTCTATACGATGACGTACTTGGCAGTCACACAGGTACTGCAGCACGTGGCACATCTGCACACACACACACACAGATTACAAACATATGTTCGGTCAACTACATATTAACGATGGCAACAACTCTTTAAGATACATTGCATCCCTATGTCATCAAGCTTTGGTGTCACTGTCATTGCATGTCCTTACAGATTTAAAATTATTTGTAATTGCTCACCCTAAAGAGAAAATGTTGACATGCTACTTGGCTTCAAAGCAAGGACTATTGCAGGACAATTGTGCATCTAGCTGATATTTCAACATACACACACATGACACATTTCATTTCACTGGGTGTCCACCCTTTGCAGGCTCACAAAAGGACAACCAATCGCATCTATCAAAAGAATGCATCATACCTAGCAAAGGGGTCAACCACACCTCTTCACTAAGGTCAAAGTTTCTGACCCTTCCTCCCTCAGAGTTCCTCTCAGAGCTTTCCTACATCACTCCTAAGCTTGGACTCCTTACTTGAAATTTTTAAGACAAGTTAGGAGCTCAAGTTCTCTGAATGTTTGTGAATACATCCCAAAATGTACTGTGATTTTTGAGTTATTTGTTGTTTTCTGTAACTTTAAATGCTTTGCACAGTTCATCACATGTATGACTTAAAGGGAAGACTTGTCAACTTTGATGTGGATGTCCAGTCAGTTTTGATAGCAAATGTATTTAATTGAAGCAATAAATTCCTCAGTGTGTGCTTAATTGACTTCACAAACTACCTTTGTTACCAACAGCAACAATGGGATCCCAAAATGTGTATGCAGAAGATGTTATGGCCAGTGGGGACTCTCCAGAACCTGAGCTGCCAAGAGAAAAAACACAACTGGTTGGGCCTTTGTTCAAATTGCCCTCAGATGCCAACAGAAACTGAGTCATCATTCTGCTGTATTGAATTTCAGCGTGGGCACATTTTTATTGAAAGCTTGTTGCCGACGCCAGGAGAGCCCCAAGAGAGCCTGTGTGTGCATTTTTATGCATAAAAAATGTGTTCCTCCCTTGAACAGAGGTGTTGGAGACCATCTTCAGGATCCCAATTATAAACTGCAAAAGACAACTAAGACCAGCAGGGCATACAGGGCAGAAGACAATGGGGTATTTTTGTCACTTAACGCAGCATATGTCCTATGTTGTTTTGCTATATTTGTGTGTTGTTTGGGCATCAGAAGCTAGGGCATTCATATTTGTGAACTTTTAAAAAAGGTGAAGTCTGCACACTGTTATAGCTCCTCAAATGTTTATTGTAAGGATCAACGTTTCGATCAACATAGATCTTTGTCTACAATGTTTCGATCAACATAGACAAAGTTCTATGTTGATCGAAACGTTGATCCTTACAATAAACATTTGAGGAGCTATAACAGTGTGCGGACTTAACCTTTTTTAAAAGTTTGCTTGCTTGTTGGTCCCGCACCTGTGATACTTTGGATGTGCGTGCTCTACCCTACTTTGTATTCATATTTGTGAAAACATGGATGCTTCACACACATCAGCACAGAAGATCTATACAATCAGCACAGTTTCAAGGTGGATACCCACGATTAGTGCCACCAATTCAGTATCTGACCAAATGTTTTATGAACATTATGATGTCGGAGAAGTTGACCTTTGACCTTCTGGATATAAAATGTCATCACTTCATGTTATCCTATTAGACATTTGTGTGGAAATTTGTCATAATTAGCATATGAATTCTTGAGTTATGGCAAAAAAAACAAAAACATGTTTTGTGAGGTCACAGTGACCTCAACCTGAGACCTCCAAATTTGATTCAGTTTATCGCTGAGTCTAATTAAATGTTTGTGCCAAATTTGGAAAAATTCCCTCGAGGCCTTCTTGAGATATCAATTTCACCAAATGAGACAGAGGTAAGGTCACAGTAAGCCTGATCTTTGACCAACAAATTCTAATCAGTTGATTGTTGAGTCCAAGTAGATATTTGTGCCATATTTGAAGAAATTATCTTAGGGTGTTCTTGACATATTGCTTTCATGAGATTACAGCAGATGAGGTCACAGTATGCTTGACCTTTGACCAACAAATTCTTATCAATTCATCCTTGACTCAAAGTGGATTTTGTGCCAAATTTTAAGAAATCCTGTCAAGGCATACTTGAGATATTGCGTTCCCAATAGTACGACAGACAAGGTCACAGAGACCTTTTACCTATGACCAGTTCATCCCTGAGTCCATTCAAGAATGGGACGGATTTATAAGCTGAAAACATAATGCCTCCAGCCACAGCTATCACTGGCACGGAGGACTAGTGAGACCACACAGTGAAAAAAAAATAAAACACATTAGACTACAGTGGATTCTACACATAATTTCTATCGTCAAACTTGTGGCTCGCTTTGACATTGAAAATGATTTTAAAAAAGCACTGTGTCACTAAATAAACCAGTAATCTGATATAATGAACAAATGTAGCAGCATCAACAAACTCAAGGTTTAATGAGCGTCACCTGGAGTTTTACAGGCTCTGGTAGCTTCATCTGTAACAATCCTTCTTTAGGCATATTCCTCCCTCCATCCTCTCCTCGTCCCTCAGTCTCCCCCTCCTTCACCACCTCCAGCTCCATGTGCGTGTCCTCCTGCCCTTCCCGTCTTTCAGAGAACACAGATGGTTCAATCAGTCTTAAGATGTTCTTTAGATCTCCACTTTGGAAAACTCCCATGATAAGCAGAGTGTAGAACAGCTTGATGAGGGGGACAAAGAGAAACTCAGTGCTGCCTCCTATTGGATCCCGTACGTGCATGCTTCCCTCCCGCACTGCCTCTGTTAGCATCTCAATGGTTTTCATTTTCAGTATATCTAAGGGGAATTCAGGGCTGTATTGGAAACAGTCCCCTGATCCGTTGTTGCCGTTATTGCGATATGATGGTCCGGTCCCACACACAAAACTTGGGGATGAGAAGTGCATTCTGGGTCTTAGAGAGGTGCTGAGGCCAATGCCTGGCAGGCCATGTTTCTTCTTCTCATCTGGAAACAGGGTGATGCTCTTGGTTTCTTCTGTCATGGGTACAATGTACTCATTGTTCATCATGAGACGAGCCGTGGTGTAGCTGCTCAGGTGGATGTCAATAAGGAGGTCATAGTAGCCTGCACGCAGCAAACCTGTGGATGAGGCAGAAGCATAATTAAACATCAACATTCAACAAAAACATTTACCTTAAAACATTCTATTATCTATCTATCTATACGGAAATATATCTTTATCTACTACCAAGTATTGTGCGTGTACAGCAACCTCCAGGGCTGTAAAGTGAAGTCAATGCGGAGGTCCCAAAAAGAGAAATTCTTTAAATGGCCACTTACCGCCATTTCCAAAAGTCAGTCAATCTCCACAAACCCCCATGTTAAAATGCCCAACCTTACAGCAGAATTAAACATGTTTACAGCCTGTTGCAAAAAAAACAAACAAACAAAAAAAAAACAAAACAGTATTATTCCCTACAGCTAATTTTCCCATTCATGTCATCTGTTCACAGGTGAATTTTTATTTAATTCACTTGCTTAAATCTTATTAAGGCTTAAAGTTACGCACAAGGGCGTGGCCACTTTGAGTTACAGGTCTGTTAACAAGTCTCTACCATGGCAACAATATTGGTTATGTAATGTGACCATGGGCGGCACGGTGGTGTGGTGGTTAGCACTGTTGCCTCACAGCAAGAGGGTTGCCGGTTCGATCCCGGGTGTGGGAGCCCTTCTGTGCGGAGTTTGCATGTTCTCCCCGTGTCAGCGTGGGTTCTCTCCGGGCACTCCGGCTTCCTCCCACAGTCCAAAGACATGCAGATTGGGGACTAGGTTAATTGGTGACTCTAAATTGTCCGTAGGTGTGAATGTGAGCATGAATGGTTGTTTGTCTCTATGTGTCAGCCCTGCGATAGTCTGGCGACCTGTCCAGGGTGTACCCTGCCTCTCGCCTGATGTCAGCTGGGATAGGCTCCAGCCCCCCCGCGACCCTCAAGAGGATGAAGTGGTTAGAAGATGAATGAATGAATGAATAATGTGACCATGAACTAACTCAAGGTTTTAAGTTTTAAGTTATTGTAATATTTTGGTCACCTAAAAAAGTCTAAAAATGCTAAACACAAACCAGTCCACAGAGTGACTTCACGGTGGCCAGTGGTCTACATGTGTCTGTCAAAGCCTGATATATCTTTCTCCTCTTTGCCATAGAGTTCGACTTTCCTCCAAAAACTATTAAAAACACATCATTGAGCCACAATGTTGCACTAGTTCATTGGCATGAACACACATATTTTATTACATACAAGTACTCACTACAGCACCAAATGCTGATGAATCTGTGATTGAAAATAGTCCTGAACACACAATATATTTCCTCCTGTTTGAGTAACAATTGTTAAAATTACCGTGTTTAGCTGTTTAAGGAAATTATTGAGCCTTTAAATGGAATCATATATTCATAAGCCATTTTTAAAGATTCATGTCTTCAGTAAGAACCAATGGGCACGGTGCTGAGAGCCACAGACTGAATAGGGAAGTTGGTAAGTTTTGAGAACAGTTGAACACATTTCGGCTTGAGTCATGTGGGATTTGTTTACAATATAAAGTACAGAATAATGTGAACTTTATCCTTTAAGTATGTTTTCCTCTCATTTAAAGAGACTTTCTAGTGTTGTGTCTTTACATTGTAGAATTACCAAAAGGATCCGAATACTTCTTTCAGCTCTTCCTACAACTGTGCCACACTACATTTGAGGCGTAAATCACAAGTTTCATCACAAAATGAGATCATATATTGATACTTTAGACATATTTGTTGATATAAAAAAGTCTACCATGATACAATTTCATTTCAGTTCAGTTCAGGGGCCTGTGATCAATATGAGACGATATCAGTAAATATCTTAATTGTCTTCTTCACGACTGCTTGCAATCATCGGCCTGGCGCTAGGCTGTTAGCACTGATTGAATGTTTAAGAGAGAGGTGTGCTTGGATAAAATTGGTCCACTTTGCATCTATAATATTGGACCGTTGATTAGTGAATTGATATATTGATCCAGACAGATGTATTGTTACACCTCTACACTACATCATGCAATAATGATCCATAAGTGACTGAAATCTCAGTTTATAATAGAGTAAACCAGGGATATTCAACTTGCTTTAGTTTGGGGACCACCCGGCACTCTATCAAGCACCATATTTGTCCCGCAAGTTGAGTATCATTAGAGTGTGAAATTTTTAGGGAATAGTAAATGAGTGAACGAAAGAGAGTGTTTGGAAAAAGTCTTGGTCTATCCCATGATAACACCTGTGACCTATGGGCAGGCCCTGAGTATTACCTGACCTCTACTTAATATTCTGGGACAGACTTTAATACATTACATGGATTTATTCTTTCTATATGCTGTGTGTGTGTTACCTGGCATGTACTTATTCTCTATAGCCTGCAGGAGCTGTGCTTCGTCTACGTGGGAGCAGAGGGCATGTGCCACCCGGTTGTTTCCCAGAGCACAGATTGCTGAATACAGTCTGAGGGTATGGTAGTGAAACTTCAATAAACCTCTCTGTTCTGATAGCTCCAGGATATCCACCGACCTGGACAACAAACAGAAAGACACCACATGAGACACAAGAGAGCAGGAGAATGATAAGGTGTGTGTGTGTGTGTGTGTGTGTGTGTGTGTGTGTGTGTGTGTGTGTGGCTGTGGGTACTTCACTTGTTCTCCTCAGGTATGTGCAGAGACATAAACTGCAGAGGTTCGTTACACTGGACCAGCCAGCCGTGTCTGTCATTCACTCTGGATGCTGACACCTGAAGAAAAAAAACCAAAAACAAATACCTGTTAGCACTTCTTAGACAGCATACACTACATTAAATGTTGCTTTCCACCCACTCTGTGGCAGTACACCCAGTATACTGCCCACACAGTATGGAACAGTCACTGCGCTGTCTATCAGAAAAGCATCAGGTGGGCTTGCACAGTAAACTGGAAGCCATCGAACTAGAATTTCCACCTTGTTGTATACAAAGTGTCATCACTTTATCCTTTTCGATATTTGTGTGAAATTTTGTCATACCTACCTCATGAATTCCTGAGTTAATACCAAAGACATGTTTTGTGAAGCCATAATAAACTTTGATCACCAACTTAAAATCCATTCATCCTTGAGTCCAAGTGCTAAATTTAAAGAAATTCCCCTGTGATGCTTCTGAGAAATTGCATTCACAAGAGTGGGACATACAGCCTGAAAGCATATTGCCTCGGTACCCGATTGTTCTGGTGCACAGGCATAAAAATCAGTAAGGCAATAATTTTTCCTTTTCAAACCAAGGAATAGTTAATTAAGTGTAAGAGTAAGTAAGATGAACTTCTTAGAAGAGACTTGTGCTGCAAAATAATTTAGAATAGAAGATGGAAGTTGTCCCAATTATGACATATATGTATATATATATATGTGTGTGTGTGTGTGTGTGTGTGTGTGTGTGTATATGTATACAATTATTGATTTACACATTCTGCTCAGAAGCCACTTGCATTTCTCTTTTATATCCCTAATGTCATCAGCCAGATCAAGACCACAAAGAAGCCACAAAATGCAGACCTACTGTAAACAGGGAAGAATTGTTACTGTACCTTAAGGAAGTGGTTGGGGACACGACTCCATAATACAGGAGTGAGAAACTGGACATGTAGCCGTGGTGGACACTGAGGCACTGGGTTCTTCCTCTCACTCTTAAACAGACCAGCTGACAGAGGCATCACATTCTGACAGGAAACAGGCATATTACTACATACTACATCACACATGACAAAGCTGGACAGACCAAAGAGGTGGTCATATGGAGGCAGCACAAAGTGTCACTAAGCCGACATCAAACCAGAAAGATGTTACAAATCCTAATAACAAATTAACAGGAGGATTTAACTAGAAATACCACTTTGCAGTTGTATGCCTCTGTAAACCAGTCAAGTTGCACTTACAGTTTATATCCACGTCTGTGAAAACATGGATGCTTCACATACATCAGCAGCACAATAGATCTATACAACTAGTGCGGTTTTAAGGTGGACACCCTAGATGTCACCAATTATGTATCTAACCAGATATTTCCCCTTTTGTTCCTGAGTTATGACGTTGAATAATGGCCAGAAGAGTGTTTTTGCAGAACATTATAATGTCACAGTGAGGTTGAGCTTTGACCTTTTGGATATAAATGTCATCACTGCATAATTTTACCCTATTAGACGTAGATTTGTGTGAAATTTTGTCATAACTATATCAATTCTTGAGTCACAGCACAGTGGTCACAGTGACCTTGACCTTTAATCACCAAATTCTAAACAATTCATTTTTCAGTCTAACTGGACTATTTTACCAAATTTGAGGAAACTCCCTCAAGGCCTTCTTGAGATATTGTGTTCACAAGAATGAAAAGAAAAAGAAAGAAAAAGAAAGAATGACAGATGCAAGTTCACTGTGACCTTTAACCACCAAAATCTTATCACTTCATTGTTGAATCCAAGTAGACATTTGTGCCAAATTGGAAGATTCCCTGAGGGCGTTCTTGAGATATTGCTTTCACAAGAATGGCACAGATGGCGTATGTACAGATGGATGGATAACCCAAAAACATAATGCTTCAGACCACGGCTATTGCCAGCACAGAGGCATAAAAACAAGTCTCAACAAGCAATTCTAATTTTGTTGTGTTTCTTGTGTATGTTTTTCTTAAAACTTTAGAATTTCAATACCTTTATTATGAAGCAGCAACACAAAATCCAGGTAATGTGTCACTGAGATTAAAAGCTCCCAAAGCTGTGTGTGTGTGTGTGTGTGTGTGTGTGTGTGTGTGTGTGTGTGTGTGTGTGTGTGTGTGTCCGTCTCACCTTAATACGCCCCAGTTCAAACTGGAAGACATTGGGGCTGGTGGCCTTGGCAAAGACTGCTGGGAACAGCTTAGTACTGGGCTCCACCTGCGGAAACGTGGAGGTGCTTAGCAAGTTACTTACGTCCAAGTGACATTTAGTAATCTAGCCTGCAAAATGCAAGATGTGTTCATAAAGAAGGTTAATGAAAATATAGGGGGTTACATCAGGAAACCAAAGAATGTTTCCCTTTTGTTTGAGTTTTTCTTAAAGGAGAACATAGCCATATGGTGACCAGAGCACATGTATGCTGTTGCTGTAGAAAAACAAAGGGGCAGTTTGGTTTCTGCTGGACTAAGACATATTGACTAAGATGGGAATATTGTTTCAATATAGCTAGTGCCAGGGTGTAGGAGTGAGAGGGACTAACCTGAGAAGCAAACAAAAAACAGGAAAACAAACACAAAGCAAGGCAGAAACGAAGGAGGCAACTTCTGGTTTAATAAAGCAAAATGAAAGAAATGAAGAAAAGGAAACAGGAATAAAGGCCCAATCACCCGTAAAACAATATCAAAGATTTACCTGGTAGTATGTGCTGAGCTCTTTGCTGTTGGCTGTGAATGTCAGCAATCCATTTGTTGTGTCAACCAGACAGCCAATCTCTAAGCCGTTGTTGTTCCTCCCCTGACCAGGACTGCTGCTCTCTCCAGCCCACACCATGTAGCAATTACTGCGCTTTATACTGGAAAACACACACAGACACACCATATAACAGTTACTGCGCTTCATACTAGAAAACACACACAGAGACAATGTAACAGTTACTGAACTTTATACTGGAAAACACACACATGTAACAGTTACTGAACTTTATACTGCAAAACACACACATGTAACAGTTACAGTGCTTTAAAGACCCTTTTACTGTTAGTAAACAGTATGAGGGTTTTTGGTGGGCCCGGCTTCCCTGGAGGCAATTCTCCACAGACATTAGCTAGCACTAGCCCAACAACAAATTATGTTGGCTTGTTCCAGACAATGGAGGAAGATGATGCAAGTGGTGCATTCTGAAATACTCATTCTGAGTGCCGGAGTGCACTTCATTTTAGCATGGAGCATCAGACTGAATTTATGAATGCATCATATCAGGTCATTCACTCTCCGTGACCGCAAGTGTTACTTGAAAAGGTAAACACTGACCAGTGGGACCAGACTGGTCGCCCATATGCTCTCACTCTTATCTGTGGATGGATGATTTGACAGAATTGGGATGGCTGGCTTTGTCATTGATTACTATGACAATCTTACAAAGGAGGATGACACTTCAATGGTTTCCTCCAATTTGTTTTGCTACCAAAGCTAACATTAGGTAATGCCCTAAGAAGTTAGCATCCAATACTCCTTGTAATACCTCCCAAATTTCTGATTAGGTGGACATGATAACCCTATACAAATTATTTTTGTTGACGGGCAGTGGCGGCTGATATGCAATAATAATAATTTAAGTTTTGAGCCATGACTCCTTCTGTTCTGGTTCCCAGTAACACAACAAGACGGCATTTTGTCTTTGTAGCCTA